TAGAACTTGAAGTGCTTGAAATAAGCGCCATTGAAACAAAGTGCTCAAATTTAACCACAAATAAGCGCCACCATGACATGAAAGTGTAACAAAGTGGCGCTAATTGAAGACAAATACGGTAGTCTAATAAATTTGTAGGTACAACATTCAAAGAATAGGGATTTTTGAGTCATTGAGCATTTCTTTTTATAGTAAAACTATTTTTGTGGCTCCACTTTATTCTAACACTCTGCTAACATTTAATGAACGATAGTTTTCGTTCAGCATTTATTAGTTTTGTTCACAAGGAAAGATCTTCTTCTCACATGACTCACTTCCCCCACAAGCTGTGTTGCTGCATGGTCAATACTGAATGAGCTAAATAGGTGATCAGGGTTAAAAGCAACATTACAGCTATTCAGATACTAACATGCGGTTATCTGTAAATGGTTCACTATCAGGAATTTTAGATGAATGAATTCTGCAAACCGGACAGAGTGATTTCATATTTGGGTACTGCCGTATGTCATATTTGTTTACCGTATTCACAAATGGCCAACTGTTTTGTTTGTTATACTAGTTTTTCTGTATGTTCAAAATCACTACATTTTGTCACTCATACTGCATTGAAATTGACATACAGATGATGCTACCCTTGTTAGAGATGTCTTGGTTCGTCACTCAGCTTGTGTAGCATGGAATGTTTACCAACAACTGGATTTTTGAAAACAAATCAGACCACTGATTAATAAAGAATGCTATATAATATTAAACAGGCCATGCATGGCACAGTGCCCAATAGCTATCAAATTTAAGATATATAGTTTTGTTTATAGTAATAAAGCTGGAATATGATTTTTTTTTAACATCAAACAAGTACTTGTTCCATATTGAGAGATATTGCTCTGGAACAGCATTCAAAATCAGCCATTTTGAATACATGTGTATATATATGTCAATATATATATATATATATATATATAAACATGATGTATAACGAATATATAAAATTTGAATATAATCAGTCAAAGCATTTACCAAGTTTGAACAAAATCCATCCATAAATGCCAGAAATGCTCGATATTTGATGATTTTTTAGCACAAAAATGACCACCATTCGGCCATTTTGAATAGGATCGTCAAACCAATATATCTGTCTATCTATGACATGATGTATAATGAATATTTAAAATTTGAACATAATCAGTCAAAACAAGTGGGAGATATGGGTCTAGAAGCCCATTCGTTAAAACAAAATGGCTGCCAGTCGGCCTAATGTATATATCAAGCTTGTAAACAGCCGAGAAATGCTTGATTTTTATGATTTTTTAGCACAAAAATGGCCGCTATTCGGCCATCTTGAATCAGATCATGAAACAAAATGATGTGCATCATGGTCCTATAATGTCCAACGTATATACAAGGTTTGAACAAAATCCATCTGTAAACAGCCGGGAAATGCTCGATTTTGATGATTTTTAGCACAAAAATGGCCGCCATTCGGCCATCTTGAATCAGATCGTGAAACAAATTGACGTGCATATGTATAATATCATGTATGATGTATGTGTGAAGTTTGATTGTGATTGGTCCAGGCATTTCTAAGATACAGGGTCGGACGCACACACGCACGGACACATATGAAGGTCAAAATATAAGTCCCCGTTTTCGGACTGCGTCCGAACGGGGACTAATC